AGAGAAGGAATTCCTTTCAGAGCTTCAGCTGGGACTCCACCCCACTTCTGGTCCAGGACTAAGTACATAACTCAGGTATGGGCAGTCAGAACACCCCATAGTTGCCCGGGATGATATTAGGTGGACTTTTTCATGTTCACCTTTTCCCTGAGGTCATAACCCACCAAGAGCTTTATGCAGGGGTTTCAGTCCCAATCTTGCTTGGGTCCCAGGCATTGTCTTCTGTCACCCAAGCCTCTGGGTTACTAATAGTGGCAAACAACAATGAAGTCCCAAAGCACACTTTGTTTTTGGTCCTTGGGGATTTCCTTTATTTTCTAGCTAACTCAGCAATGCATTTAAATGGGGTTTGTTAAATTTTATCCAGCATATCCAGGCATTTTGTACTGGGAGTTTTTTAGGATATATAAGCCACTGAAACGTTCCTCCCACATGTTTTTAAAGATCACTCAGCTTGCCGTATGTGGAATAGTTTGGAGGGGAGAAACACACAGAAGCAAATAGACCTATTTGGAGACTATTATGGATTGAATTGTGCCCCCTCCTCCCCCCAAAAAAAAATGTGTGTGTGTGTGTGTGTGTGTGTGAATCCTAACCCTCATACCTGAGGATGTAATCCCATTTGGGAATAGGGTTTTCTTTATGTTAATGAGGCCTATCAGTGTAGCATGTGTCTTAAACCTAATGGCTTTTGAGATATAAAAAGAACAGATTAGACAAAGAGAGAAGCAAGCACAAACGGGAGAAAGACAGATGCCGCATGGAGATTGCCAAGGAACTGAGGCTGGGATTAGAGAAACCAAGACAAGGATTTTCCCCCAGAGCTGACAGAGACAGCCTTTCCCTAGAGCCGGTGACCTGAATTCAGACTTCTAGCCTTCTAAACTGTGAGACTATAAATTTCTGTTCATCAAAGCCACCTACTTGTGGTATTTCTGTTACAACAGCGCTAAGAAACTAAGACAGAGACTACAGAAAAATCTGGGCAAGAGAATAATTAACTTCAACAAGGGTGGTGGCAGAGACATAAATAGATGGATCTAGGAGATATTTAGCAAGTAAACTCAGCAGAGTTTCAGATGTCCAAGAAGAGATGTCTAGTGGGAAGTTTTTGTAGGAGTCAGGAGTGCAGAAGAGAGCTCTCAATTGCGTAGGAAATTTGAGAAGCCTTCCGTGAAAAACTGGTAACTGAATTCACAATGTAGATAAGATTGCTTGGCAGAAAGTGCAGAATGGAAAGAGAGGAAGATCCCAAGACCAGCTTTGAGAACTCTAACTTTTTCAGACGATTGAGGAGGAGGAGCAAGCAAAAGAGACTGTAAAAAACCAGGAGAAAGATCAAAGAAAAATCTTTAAGATAGGAGAATGATCAGAGACTGGTTTCACGGAGGTCAAAGGGACTTTCTAAAGGAAAGGAAGAGTTGGCAAGGGCCCGGTGATAGTGAGAGGTCATGAAAAATGACTGAAAAGCAGGCATTGGATTTGGTAACATATGGGAAATTGGTGATCTTGGAGAGAGGGGCAATGAAAAGCCAGAGAGGGGTGAATTGGGAAGTAGGAAATGGAGACCACTCTTTTGAGAAGTTTGGCTGTGAAGGCAAGGGAAAGAGAGGACGTTAGCAGGAGGAAGAAGAGGACTGGAGAAGTTATTTTAAGATGGGGGAAACTTTGCAATGTTAAATGCTGATAGGAATGAGCCAGAACAGAGAGAAGATAAAATAATTGGCTGAGAAGAAAGAAATCCGCAGGACAGGTGGACGGATTTTCTTGGATTGCTGACCCACCAAACCGAACGGACAGCCGGAATTCGGAAGTTTGGACAGAATTGAGTTTCAGATTAAGGGTTTTTTCCTGCACTAAGACCTTCCCTCATCCACCTCCTGACCTTCTTTCCCTGCCCCATGATTCTACTCCCCACAGCGCCCCGCCTCGGTGAAATAAATGTCTTATAAACATTTATTGAATGCCTACATGAAATAAACATCCTAGTTCAATAAATCCTCCTACAGTGCCTGGCAGGGGCTCGCCCATTTTCAATTCTTGCCGGCCTCCCATTGGGACGACCTTCCGGAGACGCATGCGCAAAGAGGTCGTAGACGCGTCCAACGCAGGGAAGAGTGGGAGTGTAACGTTAAATCTTGCACAGGCGCCATGCGAGTGCTTGTGGGTGAGGGAGGCTAGAAAAGCGGGGGGGTGGCCGGGAGGCGTATTTGTGAAAAGTAGCCTGAGATGGCGGGCTGGGAGACCGTTTCCGGGAGAAGGCACTGTGTTGTGCACGGGCAATTTAGCTTTGGCGTCCTAGCCGGAGAAGCCGAATTCCCCTAATCCCTGTGACCTGTGTCACCTCTGCATCGCGGGGAGGAGGGGAGAAGTCTGGAATCCGAAGGGATGGCACCAGAGGAGGGGTAACATGCGGGGACGGAAGGAGCCCCTGGGAGGATAAACAACTCGTGTTTCCCGACCAGGTGGCGGCACGGGCTTCATTGGGACAGCCCTAGCCCAGCTGCTGAAAGCCCGGGGCCACGAAGTGACGTTGGTCTCCCGAAAGCCTGGCCCAGATCGGATCACGTGGGTATGTCCGGCTGCGGACGCAGGGTGGGAAGGGGCTTGGCCGGGCGAGGCCTCGGGGCACCTTGCGCGTTCTCTCACAGGATGAGCTCGCTAGGTCGAGGCTGCCCCGCTGTGATGCCGCTGTTAACCTGGCTGGAGCAAACATCCTCAACCCTCTCCGAAGGTCAGCCGGGCCCTGAAGCTGCTATTTTCCAGAGCAGAGGGAGGAGAGGGTTCGACCCTGAGGAGAACCTTTGAGCTGTGGGTACTGGAACTCCCAGATGAGAAACTAAGCCGAAATCTCTCCCTGACTACTTGTCATCTCACCCCTTCGCACCCACTTCCTGTTCTCAGTCAGCTCAGTTGACTAGTCCTCACGTGCAACTCAGGATGCCCAAGATAAATATGCCTTTTCCCTCTACAGGAGTCATGGGCCATTTCTCTAAGCCACAACACAGTGTTTTACTAGAAATGGGTACTGAACGCGCCCCAGGGTAAGAGAGAAGGGCATGTGCACGTATGCATTTAGTGACTTTTTGGTTTCCCGTTTCTTTCTCCTACAGGTGGAATGAAGCCTTCCAAAAGGAGGTTCTCAGCAGCCGCCTGGAGACTACCCAAATGCTGGCAAGCACCATCTCCAAGGCCCCACAGCCCCCCAAGACCTGGATCTTAGTCACGGGTGTAGGTAAGTGTGGGGGCGGGGGGCTGGGGAGAGATACAGAGTAAAGGGGTAGTTCAGTCCTTCTAGCTATATCCAGCCCAGAGCCCTGGTCTCCTACAGGCACAGCAATATCCTAGGCCCTCAATGGTTGCATGTTTCTCCTGACTTTGTATATGCTTTCACGGAGAAACGGGGACCCTCGGAGAAAGAGGGGGAAGTGGCACTCCTCCCAGTGCCAGGGAAAATTCCACCTACTCCAAAGTCCCTTGCTTCTCACACTACAGTTCTTTAGGAACAGAGGTCCTGATTCTTGTATTTCACCTTTGGGACCAAATAATTGAAAACAATTATAATGTATATACCAAACCCATTGCCGTCCAGTTGATTCTGACTCCTAGTGACCCTACAGGACAGAGTGGAACTGCCCTGTAGGGTTTTCAAGGAGCAGCTGGTAGATTTGAACTGCCGACCTTCTGGTTAGCAGCCAATCTCTTAACCATTTCAAGTGTTTTATACATATTACATCATTTAGTCCTCACAACAACTCTATGTGGTAGGTCCTGTTATTATTCCCATTTTAAAGATGTGAAAATCCCACACAGAGAGGTTAAGTGACTTGCTGAAGGTCACAGAGCTAATAAGTAGTGGAGCTGAGATTAAAACTCAGAATCCTGGCACTCAGGTCTTTGTTCTCAACCACTACACTCTGGCAGCCTCTCAGCTTAGGCTTGCAACCAAAGATAAGCATTCCTCCAGGATGGTTACAGGTCAGCGTCATGGAGAAGTTAAGGGGAAAATATCCATGGCTCTGTCTTCCCATGGGGAGACCCTAAGGGCCAAGGAGGGTAAGGCCAAGGGGAGCCTCGACCACAAAAGGCCAGGCAGGACCAAGAACACCCAGGCAGACAAATGCTGTTTCACTGGCAGCTTACTACCAGCCCAGCCTGACTGCGGAGTATGACGAGGACAGTCCCGGAGGAGATTTTGATTTTTTCTCCAGTCTTGTAACCAAATGGGAAGCTGCAGCCAGGCTACCTGGAGATTCTACACGCCAGGTGGTGGTGCGCTCCGGTGAGAACCAGTGGCCTGGGAATCAGACAGGGTTGGAGCATCTTCTCCAGGCTGGGGGGCGGTGGGATCAGGGGAACTGAGCTTACAGAGGGTGAGAGAGTGCCACTGCTTCTGGTTGACCTTCAGATGGGGGCAGGGTAGGAAGTCCCAAAGGGAACCATTCTCCTCAGCAGTTACAGAGCTTTACATTTGGCACGGGGAGAGGATGAGGAAGGGGAAACAAACAGGGAGGAGCAGTGGGACCGCTTGTAGGCTGAGGGGCGCTCCCTGTACCATCCTTCCTGCCTCCTGTAGGAGTTGTGCTGGGCCGTGCGGGTGGTGCCATCGGCCATATGCTGCTGCCTTTCCGCCTGGGTCTGGGGGGCCCTATCGGTTCAGGCCACCAGTTCTTCCCCTGGATTCATATCAGCGACCTAGTGGGAATCCTAGCCCATGCCCTTGAAGCAAGACACGTTCAGGGGGTCCTGAATGGAGTGGCTCCAGGCCCCACCACCACCAATGCTGAGTTTGCCCAGGCTTTGGGTGCCGCCCTGGGCCGCCCAGCCTTCATCCCCCTTCCCAGCACTGTGGTAAAAGCCATCTTTGGGCGAGAGCGTGCCATCATGCTCCTGGAGGGCCAGAAGGTGGTCCCACGACGGACATTGGCCACTGGCTACCAGTACTCCTTCCCAAAGCTGGGGGCCGCCTTAAAGGAGGTCGTAGCCTAAGTAGGGAGGCTAATGGCAGGGCCTCTCCCTCCAACAGTGTCTTCCAGGTTAGATACTGTGAATAGGTTCAGGTGTGCCTCTACTTGAGCTCTGAAGTCACCCATTCTTAGGGATTCCTCCTTCCTACTTCTCTCCCATTGTTTTGTTGCTCCACCCTATTTGAGAGACTGCCTGTGGTCTTAAGGTTGTAAATCCATCAAGTTAGGACCTCAACCCCTTCCCGAAGAAATTTCCAAGCTTGGTTTCCCTAACTGTCCCACTCCTGCCTCAGTTCTCCTTTGTGCTATACAGAGAATGCTCTGCAGTTTAGGCAATAAATCTATCTCACTAGCTTCGACTCATCTCTTTGGCCTAGGTTCTCCCAGAATTTATTTCAAAGAATGTCACCTTAGATTGACTCTTACCCTTATATGGGGTTTTGAAAGTTGCAGTGGACATCTCTCCTCACAAGTGTTGGACACAAATTTGGGACATGGGGTTGTGATAAAGATGGGAAGAAGAAACAAATGAAGACCAATTTCCAGTAGGTCCAGTGGTCACCCTGTGTACCTGTTCATGGATTGCCAGCATGATGCTGACAGAGGAAGAGGTGAGGCCAGGTCTAGGACAGCCTTCAGTCCATGTCACCAAATGGCAGGGAATTAATAATCACATGTTGGTCCCAGTTCATCAAGCTGCAGCAGGACAAAGTCAGTATCTCTGCCTGTGACAAGCATAGGACTTGCCTCTCTGCTAAATGGGGCCACTTCAGTCAACAGAGGTCTACAGCACAAAAAGCAGAAGATACCTCTGGCCGTCTCACACCTCACCATCATATTGAAAGTGAATGGGGCAAGGAACCCAGGATACAGCAGTCAACACTATAAATTCAGCCCAATCAGAGGGAAGAAAGTCCCAAGTGTTCATCTAGGACCTTTACCCTTTTTATCTACCCTGTATTTTTTTTGCCACAACTTGACCAGAAGTCCCCCCCCACCCCCAATTCAGGTCATATTAGCCAATCTCCTTTCTTCCAAGGGCACTATGACTATCTCTGAGTCACTGTCACCTCCCTGACCAGCCACTGTCCAACACACCCATCCCCAGCCCAGGTCAATACTGTCTAGTGGTGTAAATCATCAGTCTTGGGAGGGAGGGTAGTGGTAGGAGGTGCATGGGACCCAGGGACTGTCTCTACCATCATTCAGCTCCCCATGCAAGTTGCTAGAATGAGGGATGGGAGCAACAGCATTCAACTCCCTCTGCCTCTCAGAACCAGGAAGTCCAAGCCTGAAAAGGACTATGCCTAGAGGTTTGCTGCAGAGTCCAGACAGAACTCAGGGCACCTTTCCTCATTCCTTCTCTGGTCTTAGACTCTTCTCTAGGAATTTGACTGGCTCTGTTGTTCCTGAAGGAATGACCGGCCTCAAAGGCAGAAGTAATACAAAAGCTTCTTTGGGGCTGCACTAAAGAATGGACAAATGACTAATACTGTGCAAAGATGGAACATGCTACCTTGTGAGTCAGTATAACTTCTCTGGCACAGGAAGACTTCAAGCAAATACAGGAATAGTGACCTCCAAAAATCAGTGTGGAGAGAGAATGTCCTGATGTGACAGCAGAGTTGATCTGGTGGCCAGTCAGATACCTTCCAACTGTGATTCTTTGGTTTTCGCTTTCCAGATAATGTGTTCATCAAGATAGAACCTCTATAAACCCTCCCATCCCCCATACACACACATGCACACGAAACAGAAGTGTGCCTCACTTTATGCAACATATGTGTTGTGTACAGAAAATATAAGGGTCACATCACATTGTCATTGTCATTGCAGAACATGTCTTCACTGGTTTCGTGATTGTTCCCAGCATTTCAGCAAGTGCATCTTACGGGACTTTCTGACACATTAATCTGTAAACACTTGATTGCAATGGGAGAGCTGCCATTTAAAGGAAACCTGAGAGTATTTTGGTAATGTAAAAAGTCACCCCCTAATTTAACTATTTTGTAAATGTGGATTATGGGGTTGCCCAAAAGGGACGCAGCCATTATAGGGCACATTATACTGAGAACTCTGTGTTAAAAGCCAGGGCACGAGTGGATGCCCAGTGGACAGACTACCCACAGCTCTCTAAAAGTTAGGTCTTGGTTAGGAAACCTGTGCAGTCAGTCAGACAAACCTGAGACTTGGTCAGAATACCTTTTCTCCAAGGAGCTTTCCTGTATGTACTCACTGCTCCTCCCAACAGGTATTTCTACCCCTGATTTATAGGCAGAAACAAAGACCATGCAGCTTGATCACAGTCCCAGACAAGCATAGCTGAGACCAGAAGCCAAGTCTCTCCCTGCCTTCTCCACCAGCTCCCAGCTCCCCCACTGCGAGCAGCCCACCTAACACTACAGCCTCTCCAGGGCCCAACGTTTCTGCCGAGAGAGTCCCGGAAGCCTAGCCAGGCCTGGGCAGCACCTGTCCTCTGACCACCCAGAGTAGCAGCCAGGGGAAAGAAAGGCTTAGTTTCCTTGCCACCATTGTTTCCCACCCCCAACTTGGCTTGGAGGTAGAGCTGGTAGTAGTCCCAGTCTCTAGGACTTACTCTTTTAAACAGCCCCCACTCCCTACAGAAACCATGTGCTAAGGCAAAGTTGAGAAGTCAAGGCTGAGCAGAACCTCTTGAGAGCTGGTTGAGGTCCTGACTCCAGATGACATCAGGTCACTTTATGGACCTATCCCCAAAGTGCCCCAGGCAAGAACGTTTGCAACTCTCACATGCTCTTCCTCAGTGCTTCCCTGACCCAACTCAGGATGAGTCTGGGTCAGGTTCTGAGCAGCAGAGGGACTCTCACAGAAGGGACTGAGCTGGGTTGGACTGGAGCTGACAGGTGGCAGCCACTCAAGCAGGTGAGGCTCAAAAGTTGAGACTGAGCAGAGCCTCAGAGAGTTGGTTAATGTCCCGACAGTACGGCTCCCGCTGCAGGATAAAGTCCACCTTGTGATCCTGGCCCCAAAACACCTCCAGCAGCTGGCGCCGGAGCCGCTCTGTCTCTCGGGTCTTCCGAATGCCACCACTGCCTTTTTCCTCTTCTCTCCCCTGCTGCTGATTATCATGTTTTGTGATGCCCCTAGAAGGATGCTGAGCCTCAGAAGACCCCTGTTTCCTAGGAAGAAGCAGAGAAAACATGAAGAGCTGATGAGCGTCCAGGAGAGAAATAAGAGCACAGTGGGCCTCCTCGCTCCCCACCCCCAGTTAACTGCCCTGCCTATTCCTGGCTCAAGAAGCCCTGGTGGTGCAGTGGTTAAGCACTTGGCTGCTAACCAAAAGGTCAGCAGTTTGAACCCATCAGCTGCTCCACGGGAGAAAGATGTGGCAGTCTGCTTCTATAAAGATTTTTTTTTTTTTTAATTTGCCATTGGGTTGATTCCAACTGCCACATCTTTCTCCCTCAGAGCAGCTGGTGCATTCGAACCACCAATCTTTTGGTTACCAAATAAGTGCTTAACCAGTGTGCCACACGGGGTCCTTTACATAAAGATTACAGCCTTGGAAAACCTATGCAGCAGTTCTACTCTGTCCTATAGGGTCGCTATGAGTCAGAATGAACTCCAGGGCAACAAACTTTTAGTTCTGCGGGAGCAATCCTGAAGTCCTCCAAGATGACCACTGAGTGGCAATATCAACCCACCTCTAAGGGGAGACAGAATGCCTTTGGAACCGGGAAGGCGAGCTTTGCCATTATGATCTAGATCTAGTCTAGTAAATTAATTACTTAAGGGTCCGGCAGAGGGTGGAAGTAAAAGCAACCATGTTACAAATAACTCCATCAAAAGCACTGGTTAGGGGAAATACGAGCCCCCCTCCCAACCAGGAGGTTCTGACTCAGGATTCTCCACCAAGCCCAAGACAGTTGAAACTAGTTCATAATTCGGCTGGCCTAAATCAAGGGCACACCCAAGTCTCCAGGCCTGCAAGGCTTCCCAGCAGAGAAGGTCGGGCTGGGTGCTGTCTGCAAGAGAACCTGGGGCATTACCTGACTGGCTTTTTCAGGAACTCATCCAGGGTGGGGCCATTTCGCCCCAGTGGGTCATCAGGGACCATGAAGAGGTTTCCCACGAAGGTGAAGGGCAACAGGCTGGATGGAGACAGAGAATGTACAGTCACAGAGGAAGCCACTGCGCACCTCCCAGATGGCTGAGACCAACACCACCAGAAGCTGCTGACTACCATCCCTGGAAGCAACTTCAACCCCTTCCCATAGTTTCCACCCAGAGGTTAGAGCAGAACTGGTTTTAGAGAAAGATCTGAGTCTCTGCGCCGTCTCAGAGGAGAGCTCCCCTACCGCTCTCTGATGATTGCCATCCACTTCTCGGACTCCTCTGCCAGGTCCCGGAACTGGTCATTGGAGACAATGATCCCATCCGTCTCTTCAGCCAACTTCACCATGAACCTGTCTCAAAAATCAGGGCAGCCATTCTTGGATTCTCCAAGGCTCCAACCCCAGAAAGTGTTATGGACTCCTACGACCTACTTCTGGTGATGGATATCTGGCCCCTCACCTCACCTTGACCCAGCCACCAGGTGACTGATTGGCTACAGGTGCCATGGGTTAGAAAGGAAACAAAGATGAATCCAAGCTGGTCTCCTCATAACATCCCCTCCACTCACCACAATCCCTCACCAACACTTTGTGCCTCTTTAATAAAAGAGAGGAAGATCTGGCTCTGTCACTTTCCACTCTACCCCACCAATCAGTCACAAATCCAGTATGTTCTTTCTCTGAAAAGCTTTTTACCTGTACCCCTTTCCTTTCCAGTCCCACCATTATCACCTTATTTATTAGGCTATTTCAATGGGAATATTGCAAGATTCTCCGAACAAGTGGGTCCCCTACCTTCAGCCACCCTCCAGTCTATCCAGCCCTTTACCAAAAGAACATGCTGTTCTCCTACACAAAACTCTCCTACAGTTGCCCTTTATCTACCAAATAAAGTCCACATGCCCAAGCCTGGCAGCTAAAGCCTTCCAAGACCCAGCTCCAAGCCATCCTTACAGCCAGTATTACCTAATGTACCCTCAAGACCAAAGTGGATGTCAGAAGAGACTCTGAAACTTGCTCTTGAACATACAGTAGCTAAAGCAAATGGAACAAATGATGAAGTAAAAGAGCTGAACAGAAGATTTCAAAGAGCAGCTCCAGAAGACAAGGTAAGGTATTATAATGAAATGTGCAAAGATCTGGAATTAGAAAATCAAAAGGAAAGAACACGATCAGTATTTCTCAAGCTGAAAGAACTGAAGAAAAAAATTCAAGCCTTGAGTTGCAATACTGAAGGATTCTATGGGCAAAATATTGAACGACACAGGAAGCACCGAAAGATGAAAGGAACTTTACCAAAAAGAAGTAGTCAACATTCACCCATTTCAGGAGGATGATCAAGAACTGATGGTATTAAAAAAGATCCACATAAATGGAAAAACATACCATGCTCATGGATAGGTAAACTCAACGTTGTGAAAATGACAAATTCTACCCAAAGCAATCTACAAATACATACAATGCAATCCCAATCCAAATACCAACAACATTCTTCAGAGATAGAAAAAATAATCATTAACTTTATATGGAAAGGAAAAAGGCCCCAGATAAGTAAAGCATTATTGAAGGAAAAGAATAAAGTAGGAGGACTCGCACTACCTGACCTCAGAACTTACTATACAGCCACAGTAGTCAAAACACCCTGGTACTGGTACAACAATAGATACATTGACCAGTAGAACAGAATTGAGACCCAGATGTAAATCCATCCACCTACGGTCACTGATCTTCGACAAGG